ATAAACATTACATCATTAATTATTTAATTAACCAAAAATATTACATCTTTATTAATAACAAATTAATTATTAAACAAAACTAGTAAATATAAATTAGGCAAACGTGCATTGCACGTTGCTTGCACCTAGTGTAATTAAAAGTTCGAAAAAAATTCAAAACCTAACACTCAATTAATTATTATCCAATGCTGGGTTCGTGTGAGCAATAATAATCACTTAAAATAATGGCAACGCTTACATAATCACATGCAATCAATCATCTGTGAAACACACAGTACTATAAATTCAGTATTTTATACAATGACGCGTGTTTGAGAGAGAGAGAAATGATTCGACTATAATTGGCAATCTGTTTCTTTTCAGAAGTTGACCCCATCTCCATTTCTTCGATCCCCACCTTGAAAATTATTTCTTTCTTTGAAAGGCCTTCAGTTTTTTCCCTCCGGATTATGGATTTTGCTTGAATATAATTGATTATCCCACCATATTTGTTTCTGTAAGTATATTCTCTTTCTTTTTATGCCCAATATAGTGAAAAATCTATACATAAGTTTCGTTTGAGGGATATTGGGTTTGAATGAAACAATAACAAATCTGTGTTCTGCGTGTGAATCTTGACTGGTTTTCCATTATTGACTGTATGTTTTCTTCAAACTTCCATTATTGACTGTATTGTTGAATCTCATCGTCTGCGTGCGTGCAATTTTGACTTTATAAACAGCGCCTCTCCTTTATATTCTGCCTTTTGTCAATTCTACAGTTTGCATTCACCAAGAAAGTGATACCTTTATCGAATGAATATGTTCTAGAAAGTGTTGTAGGGTGAGAATTTTGATGCAATTTTTTTTCAAACAGGTGTAGAGAAGAAGATTCCAACTCCAAGGCTATCTGTTTTGGTATTAGTTATTAATTTTCCAAATTTTGAGTTCTTGGATAAGTGCAACTGAGAATAGAGTAGAGAAGCAATTTGAAAGTGGCCATTCTTGAATTTTATGGCAATTTTCTAAGTTATTGTTCCAATTCGAGAGACTGGTTTTTTCATTCCTTGATTGGTAATATGTGATTTGGTTAATTGAGATAGAGAATTGATCAAGCAACGACGAATCCTGGTCTCCGTTCATAGTTGAGGAAAATGGGTTCTTTTCCTGGTCACGTTCTTCCCGGAACATTGTTTCTTTTTGTTGGTGTATGGCACATGTGGAGTTCTATTGTTAGATATGTATCGAATCCTAAATCTTTTCGGGTCAGGGTGTGGAACCCTGTTCCCGGTTTTGATGGACGGCTTAAGTACTTGGAACTTTATCTCATAGCAATTGGAGGTTTCATTGATTTGTGTATAGAGTTCTTATATTCGACCCATCTCCATATCTTCGTCAACGGAGTCTTGAACCCTTCTCACATGAATAACTTCGAGCACTCCGGGATGCTCCTCATGTTTTTCATCTTCGGTATAATAACACTGCTTTCTGAGAAAACAAGGTGAGTTCTTAACTTAGTAAATTTGTTTTAACATTAACTGTTTGAATTTGAACTTTGTTCGAAATTTTGTAGATCTTAATTCTTTACCTAGCTTAAGTAGAACTTTTGGCACTTCTATTTGTACACGTTCCTTTTCTAGTAATTTCTTTTTTAAGCTCTGCATTCCTGAGACATCAATGAGGCCTTTTTGACCTCTAAATGCCCATGACAAGAAACACTTACAATGAGCAGGATAAATATACTCGAGCCATTTTTCGAGGGATTGATAATAAATGGAACCATCGAATGAAGTTTTCAAATATATTATCTTTTATTTTCTTCTGCTATCCTTTTTTAAGGTGGATGACATTTCATAAATAATTGTAATTTTATCCCATCGTACTTATTTTTGTCTTGTTTTTGACATTCTTTAAAGGGCACTCCTTTTTTTTGGAATATTTACAGCACTTATGGCAACTAATATGCCTTTCAACTTCCTTTAAAATCAATAGATTTTCGTAGTAAGAAGTTGAAAGTTTTTCATTCATTTCTCAAATGCTACTAGTTGAAAGTGGAGACATTGTGTTAAAATCTGTTGCGGATCTGAATGCATTGCTATATTGACTGAAAATCCTGGCCTTAAATTTTAGTGGTTCAGTCTATCAGGAATGTTGGAATCACTTGGTTAGTACTTAATTTTATGGATTGTAATGACAAAACTTCTGAATTCAGCAACTGTGGGCTGAACTCGGAAGGCATTAGGCTCTTTAGTAATTCTGCTTTCACAATCTAGGATCTGAAAGATTGAGGGTCTTTAGAGTTGGAACTTTTTATTTCGATAGGCATCAGTATTATTCACTTCCACTACTGTGAGTCAGTATGTCTGTTCATTAGAACTCCATCTAATTTTATTAGTTCTTTTTGCATTTATGTCGAACATTTTTCTTTCATGACTAATGCACAACTTTCTCTTTTCTCAGCATTCTTCCCTTGCCCGAGGGAGCTTTGTGTTTAATTGCATCTGCGGCATTCACTGCAGAGTACCTTCTATTCTACTTCCACTCAACTACCCATAAGGGCCTCGAGGGATATTATCACCTTATCCTCGTCCTCCTTATTGGCCTCTGTATTCTATCGATTATTGCCGGTGCCCTCATTCCTACAAGTTTTCCGGTCGATTTATGCAGTGGCATCGCTATAACACTCCAAGGCCTGTGGTTCTATCTGACTGCATTCACTCTCTACGGTCCAATGATGCCGGATGGTTGCTTGCTCAAGGGAAACGAGATTACGTGTCATTCAAATGAACAAGAAATCCACGGAGAATTGCTCGCTAATGTTCAGCTATTTGGTCTAGTTCTTGGTGTTCTTGTTGCTGTTGCGGGAGCATATATCTACGCAGAGCCAAAATATGGTCGTTCGAATTTTAACAACTCACAGGTTCCTGATGATGGATGAGTGTGTTTAACATTCTTAGCCACGTTTAATTTTTACCCGCACGGTATTTCCTTTTACACTTCCGAAGGAGGCTTGTTCGTCGTGTGATAATTTGTTTCGATTGGCATAGTGTTTGTAGGTGATATTAAGTCACGTTTTGTAGTTATTTAGGTATAAATTGAGTTAAATTTTACTGTAGTTTGAATTGTGATATGCAAGTTGTTTCACGTACGATGTGAAAGATTTACAGCTAAAACTGGACTGATAGAATCTTGTTTGGGCTGTGTTTATCTTCTCATTGATGAACATATTCTTATTAGTTTTCTAATTAGGGTAAGTTGCATAGATAATGTTTTTTCCAAATATTCTTCTTATTTTTTATAATTCAATACATAGTTTAAATCGTAATGACAGTGAAGCTCATCTCAACCAAACATAAGTAAAGGGTGTGCTTCAGGTTTTTACTCCGCTGACTTTTTTCCCTCCAGCAAACACATTTCAATGCACGCAAACAGAATAATTTTATAAAATCATCATTAATAATAAGTTGTGCATCAGAATCCAACAAGAGCAGTCTATTGTCAACTGTCTCAGTGTTTCTACAAATTTATGAAAAAGATAATACGAATAAAAAGGAACCTACTTATGGAAGACAAATTTATTACAAGTTCAATTAATAAAATTTGAAAAATATTTTTGTATTAATTTGTTGTCACATTTCAAAGATTGTAATTAATCATATTTATTGTACTTACGGGGATGACCACGTACAAGCAGTTTTTTTTTAAAAACTAGGATGACCTATAATAGGTGATGGTGGGAAGAAAAGCAACGATCAGTGTGTGGGAGTCGAGTCGAAAATATGATTCCTTGTTTCTTTCGCATTAGTTGATCTTGAAATGATCGAAGTTTAAAATCAAAGGATTGTCACGAGCTACTTTCCATTACATGCAAACAAACTGCTGCTTGAAATAAAAACTTCACACGCTTAGAAAGATGAACTTGAAGAACAGTTGTCATGTTAGAATTTAATGGAAAGAGTTAAATCTTTTGCAGCAGGATCTCGTGGTAACATCACATGTTGTCACACCCGCAGTGGACATGACAATTTCTACTCTTTATGAATAGGAGATCAAACTCATTGGCGTGAATATATCATAGATGGCACAAGTTTGGCATGAATATATTATAGATTTTCTTATTATTTTGAGTTGTATTGAATTATATTTTCATATGTATATGATTTTTAAATTTTAGTACATTTTTATATTGGTTGAATTTTTTTAATTTTATTTAATTAAATATTAATAAACATTCCCACTACTGCAGTCGTTAACGGTCAATGGCCACCTTAACTCACTCGAGATCTTGGATTTGCCACTAGATATGGGCACCTCAAACTCCTCGACCGTTAATGTATAGAGCCCAACTATGCCATAAAGACAAGTTTAGTATACAATATTAGGCCCCCGTTTGGCCCCATTATTCTAAATTATAATTTTTAGAATAGTATTTTTTGTAGAATCTGTGATTGAAAAAGAATAAAAAATTTATTTATGTATAACATTATTTTATGAAATATTGTGTAGTTGAAAATAAGAGAGATGAATAAATTTTTGAAATAATGGGAACCAAACGGAGGCTAGATTGCATTTTATGTTACACCAAACAAAATTTCATTTTTCTTCTTTCGAATCCTTCTTTGAGTTCATTCTTCATACGAAATGTCGAAACAATTTTGGTTGGCACAACATTTAAGGTAATATTTATAATGACAACATTCAGATGTTGAGCTCATGTGCATTGCCACAACAATATTTTCCATTAAGAGAGTTCTGATTTACTTCATTTAGTCATATAGTACAAAAGTTGCTCATTTTTTTAACCTACAGTCTCAAAACGAAAAATTGGTAACTTCTTCGTCTTCATCTTCATCCTCATCTATGGCATCTGCATCATCCTCACTGAACCTACCATAATCATCATCTTCATCTTCATCTTCCACCTCTTCATCTTCATCAATCACCATGCTCTCATTGTCCGGTTTTACATCCTTCAAACCAGTGTTCAATACCACAGTTTCCCCCCTGGACTTCTCCATGTCTTTTCTCAGCTTATCCATGTTTTCCTTTCTACGTTCTTCCTCCAAGCGCTGCTTCTCTTCCCGTCTCTTGTCAAGATCAGCCCTATCGTGGAAGCGAGAGTGAATTTTAACAATTATCATTAGAAAAAATAATGGTAACATGTCTAGTTTTATCTGCACAGCTAAGAAAACAGAGAGGTTATCAATTAGAAATCAGTACTTGTAAGTTTCCATGTACTCTTCGGAGCTGGCTTCAATGGACTTAAAGAATGCATCCATTCCGGCACCAGACACTGCAGACACCCCAACAGATCTGAGATTTTTATAGAACTCCTCCAGAGCAAGGGAGAGACTTCGGGTCAGGGTTGATGTGTAAGAGTGGTCCGAATCTAGTGCTGCATGAAATACTTCGAAATCTTCCATCCACTACACTCAGAACAGTAAAAAAAACTAGCAAAAGCTGACAGGTAATTATTTGCAACGATAATACGCCTATAAATCGATATTATTTTGTGAAAATGTCAACTAAATCGAGAGTTAAATGTACCTCCAGGGCAAACTGATGTCGAGCCACATCTGTCTTGTTAAACACCAGTACCATCGGCAACCGGGTCTTATATAGGATGCTACAGGCATATAGCATATTGCTCATGAAGGTAGCTGGACTTGCTGAGCGTGGCGTATCAACAACATAAGCAATCACTGTAGGAAATGTTGAAGCAAAAGCTTCTGTAATAATCGCTCCAGATGCAGACCAAGTGAAAATCTCAATCTGGCCAGGAGTGTCAACCAGAACATAGTCCAGCTGATCAGCTCGTTTCTCGATTACGGATATAACCTGCAATTTGACACCAAGAATACTTTAAGGCTCCTTTCTCCATTCATGTATTTGATATACTAGAGACGGACACTGACTAATCCATGTGCCCACTAAAATTAATTAAAATTAAGAAATGATTAGCTAGCTGTTCACTCGTTACACAAATGAGGTATGGTGAACCACCCATTATCGACTAAAAAGCATCGGTATCACACTAATTACGTACAGCATGATATAAATTTTAGACAAATTTAGCATACACTAACCACGATGGCCAAATTTGAGCGTGGATCAAGGTTGTTGAAATTAAATATATTAATGTGCAGTTCTCTAAAGTATAAAACTAAAGACACCGTATACTAAGAAAACGTCTATATCTTGTTGACATGCAAGCATTATTCAAACATGAACATCAGATGTAAATTTGGCATACCTCAGAAGCCAGTGCACAAAAATACCAAGCCAAATTAAGCACAAAGCAAATTTCACTACAATGATTCCTGGTCGAGATATTTATGCTTAAATAAATCTTCTGCATTTTAAGGAACGAGCCTGAAAAAGTATTGACGAACAAAGTTCAGCCGGCGTACTCAATTTTGAGAAATAGCATGTGCATAGCTACCTATGTGAGGCGATCTAGTTATTTTTTAAATGACTTTCATTTTCCAAAGTGATTTGCTACCAATGTAAAGATAAGCAATGGTGGCTGTATGAACTTCTTTCAAATTCCATACGGGTTTGATATAATTGTAAAGAAAATGGTCACCATCATTCATCCTGACAACAAACATAAACAAGTTGACAATAATAAAATTAAATCTCCATGAAAAGTTTTACCTCGTCAAACTTTGTTGAAAACAGGTTAAGCGAAGTCAGAATTCCTCCATTGGGTCCAAGATTGAATTGCTTCATGACTTCCTTGTACCGAACAGTGTCCCTTATATCAATATTTGCACCATATGGAAGACTCAAGACAGCGGGATCAAGATTGATAACATAACCCTGAATATTTGACGCCATTGTGTGACTAACTAGGCGGTGAAGAAATGTAGTTTTTCCACTCCCTATTATATTCAAAAATCTCCCCATAAATATTCAGCCAACAAAACAGATTGAATATTAAACCTCAAACTACATTTGCTAAACATAATGCAAGAGTACCTGCCATTCCTACAACAATGATGACAACTGGTTTTCTCTTAAAGCTTGAAGACGATTCAGCTATATTCAGTTTCTCCATTGTTTTGGAAATGTGATCTGTTTCTTTACTCTTCAACTCGAAACAAACAAATAAACAATATGATGAACATAGTAAGAAAAATGTATTTAGCATATAAAATGTTTGAATAAAGAATTTACAAATCAACTATTACCTCAGTGACTGTTTGCAGAATCGATGCAGAATCCTCTTGTGATTTCGACTCGATGTCCATTTTTTCAGATTAGTGGAGTCAATTATGATTATTCAGACTTCAAGCTGAAATATGAAAAACGTAAGCAATGAAATACAGCAAACAGGAAACCACTCAAATAAATAATAAATCAGATAAATGTGATTTCAGAACCACAATGTTTAACTGCACACAAGTCTCTTCATTCTATGTAGAAACGATGAGGGCTACATATTAAGTATAATCATTCCTTGCACTGCACTTAAAAGTATAAATAATGTGATTATAGGCACACAACAAATACGATGCAATATTCAGATTATAATAAATAATAGCTTTTCTTTAGGAATTATGTGGATGTCATGTCTTATAAGTGTTATGTCTTTGCATAACAAGTGATATCCCATTCTTTACCTATTAATACCAGTATAACACGGTATGGACGGTGAGACATGCAATTTTTATTCCATTCAAAGAAAAGGTAAGGCAGCCTAATTGTTGTTATTCGTTCAAAAAAAGGAATAACTCTAAACCCCAGGCATAAATGACCGTAAAACTCTAAAAAGTTCAAAGGATGTTAGATTCCTCAATTAATCCGAATAATACTATTCCATATGTATGTTATCCTTCAATGGAATATATAGCATGAGTAAGATTCACGATTCTCATCGTACCTCTTAATAGGGTTTTTGATCTTTCTTCCTTCACCCTCATCTTTTCTCAGTTTCCGCAAATCAACAACCAAGTCACCACGATTTCCAAAGAATATGTCACCATTGTTAAAATCCTTAACTTGAAGAGACACACACTTTAGATCTCAGCCCAAGCACATCAAATGCCCAGTAAAACATATACCACTCTAATGTGCACTTCATCAGCTTCAAGACCACCCATTTAATATCTTCTTCCTTTGCACATTTGAGCTCATTACCTGAATAAAATTATTTTCTAATCTTCTAAACCACAATTTTTACATCCCCATTCCCCAAGATATATCCCTAAATATTTATACGGGTATTGGTATGATGGACTGCATGTTTCTCCCACTCTAATCTATATCGACAATACTTATACGGATATATGTCACTAAATAATAATGTAAAAGAACATGAGTGTCTATGGTTCTATTTGTATAGAATGAATTCAATCTTATGCCCAATGCTATCTACAGATTTACTGATTCAATTGAGGCAAGAATCAAAATGATATAGCACAAACCACACGTTAAAGTACTAATAACATATAGAAGAATGTTTGTAGTTATAGAAACTTTATAGGTAACAAATCCCAATTGACCGCGGTGCCAAATCTGTATTTGCCAACATGGGATTGTAACACTAAAATGATATTCTCTAAAGGGTATTCTTGAATTTGAATTAGAGCTATCTCCAATTCTGACTTTGATGAAACTCTTTTAATTTCAACTAATATGACAAATATGGTACACCGTATTATAGAAAATCAATTCGAATCCAATAAAAGCTAACCATGGACAGATTTCAAACAAAATATAAACCCAGGGGTAAACAAATTGGCATGCCTACAAAAAAATCAGGAAAATGAAACCGTGGGTCTTATAAGAAGTAAAGAAAAAAGGTATGTAGATGACCAATCAATATTCCCCTAAAAAAAACATTAAAAACAGGACACTGAAGAAAAAGCCCAGAATCCGAAATGAACATACGAAAATTAAAATTCAACTTAAAATAACTGAGTCAGCGAATTATCACACTTTAAGCTTGATGGAGAAAATCTACTATCGTAAAATTCCGCGACCGAATGATGAAACAAACATTAAAGAGCTAAAGCAAGCACCTTACGATGAACCACGAGAAACTAAGAGAGTCTGTGAGGCTCTACCAAGGTTTTACCGGGGTTTTATTTAGGGCTGGGAGTGGGTCGGGTCGGGCTGGGTCGGTTTAGGCCCAACCCGAAGCCAACCCAACTTGTTCCTGTTTGGAGAAATTTCAGTCCGAATTAGAGTTTTTGAATGGGTCTAGTAGAGCACAAGTTATCTCGATGAATCATGTTACATGTACAATATTAATTGACAACATCCTATTTAATATCATCATATTTGTCCATTTTAAAAAACATTTTTAACAACATGTGATTGTCAACCAATATTGTACACCTAATTTTTTCCTAGCTCAATTAAGTGGGGCTCAACTTCTTACTTTTTCTAACCCCCTATTTGGTACTTGTTAAAATTTATATTTTAATTTAAGTTAAAGTCAATTATTCATTTTAACCATATATTTTATGAGTTCCATACTTTTTCAACTATACTTTTCATCAATTTATATCAAAATCTACTAAAATTTTGATTTTAATCCCCACCAAATAAGGTAAATTCAAACTTAAAATTGCACTTTCACTCCTCAAAATGAAATGAAAAAAATATAGTTCTCATATATTCCTTGTCGACACCTCCTCTAGTCTCTATGTTTAGGAAATCTGACAATTGATTAAAAAAAATTGTTAAAATCAATATACAAAAATAAAACAATGCTGGGCTGCCACCCACCCTAACAGCCCCCTCACAATAGGGGGAGTGAGGAATTTTTTTTCTTTTTAATTTTGTATGGGTCCCACCACAATGTGAGAGGATGTCAACAAAAATGTCAAAATTTTTCTAGCAAAATGGTTTAATTGACAAATATTTGCAAACTTTCATAATGTCAAACTTGATGTACATGTTGCTTGAAAATGAAAATGTAAGTAAATCATATTTCGTAAAAAATAATTATCTAGTTGTAAGAAAAAGTTAAATTTCACCAAAAGCATTATGAAGTTGTAAAAATCTTCTCATAAATTCGGACTCGAGACCAGCTCCAATATGTGAAGTTAAAATTGTACACAAATTAATATTTTGAGTGCAACAATTTTAAAATAAAAAGATAAAATAAATGCAATACAATACAATAACGATGATCATGAACAAACTATTACGTAAATTATGTAGAATAATGCAACAAGAAAAACGGAAGTAGAGATTATGAAATCGGGTGGGTGAAATAATAACTCCTAACTAATTATAAAATCACGAGAATGATGTTTGTAAAATTATACTGCTAAAAAGTTGAGAGCGATATATTAAACCCCTTGGTGGGGGTTAAAACTAAATTTTTAATAGTTTTTGATAAAAATTGATGAAATGTATAGTTAAAAAATTGTGGAGCACATAAAATATATAATTAAAATTAATTATCGACTTTAACTTAGATTAAAATTTTAATTTTAATCAATATCAAACAAGGGCTAAAAGAGATTGTAGAGAATATTGAAAGTGAAATGTGATTGAATTTGGTTTCCAAACAATTCCTATTTATAGATTTGGAATTAGAAATATGAATTCAAATTTCGGATTTGCTAGCACCCTGCATGGTCTATGTTAAATCATTAGATTATTGCTTGAATTGAATAAATATTATCCATAAATATTAAATAATGTTGAAAATAAAGTTCATGTTTAATCATTATTTAAAAAAAATGTTATTTTGGATAGTAATTTTTTGAAAAATGTAAAATTAAAAAGTAAGGAAAAATTTTAAGCTTACATATAAAATATTTTATTGCTTAAATGTACGATTGAAAATAAATGTGAGAATTAAAGAATTTTGTTTCAAATGAAGACAAACACGAGCAAAATTGATTTCATAAATAGGACTGACTAGAGACATTAAGTGGCATATACATATAATACTTTAAAGTACGACGATGTTGTTATATTCGAGTCTCATAAAAATAGAATGTCCATTGTACCAATAAAAGATAAGTATTTAGAGATATATCTTCGTGCAAATGGATGCAAGTATTTTGGTTTAGAATTGTGGATAATTTTTGGTTGAAAGGAACGAGGTCGGTGCTTGCTCGACACAGATTAATTTATTTTACCGTAGGTGTTATCGAATTTTCTTTCTATTTTTTAACCACACATTCTCCTAAAAATACTCATTTTCCTCTCTCATAATGATTAATGAGAATCAAACAAGCTGCAAAGGAAGAGAATCTCAAGGTTGATGAAGGACGCGCTTGCAAAGTTTACTTCTGAAGTCTAAACCAATCTACACGCTTATAAAGCACCTATCAAGTGCTCTTAAAAGTCAAGATATCAATGTCTAAAATAAATTAAGTTTTAATGTTGTCTACTTGTGAATATAAAAGAAAATGTCATTTTAGGTTTGACAATGTTAATCTTAACCCTTTGCCACTAATTAATAGCTATGGGCCTGTTTGGTACAGATTTTCATTTTCTACAGTAAATCAATTCTTATTTTTAACCACACATTGTTCAATAAAATAATATTTTCCATCACATCAATAACTTTTCCTTCTTTTTCAACCACACATTCTCCATGGACCCACTTGATATGAAAGATAAAATGTATTATTTGAAAAAGAATGGCTCCCAAACGGAGCCTTATTTTGNAATCCCTACCAAACACCCTCTATATCTTTAGATGGGACCCATATTGTAGATTTCTTCTTGTAAACATGTTTGTTTTGAGAAATTAGATTAAGGAAAATATTAACGCGTAAGTTATTTATGTCAAACTAGAACCAAGACCCATCACTCGAACCAAAAATCCAATATGAGTCAAACTTTTAACGTGTTTTATTATGGAACTTTAATTATGAAATCAAATTACTCAATCGGGTTCGAATTATTTTGGAACTAATAGTTCTATTTATTAGATTTTTGTTAGTTCACGATTTGACTGAGTTTTCTTTGGAGCTAGACTAATTTAGAACGTGTACGCCATTAATACTATCGCCCCTATGGCGAGATAGCCTACATTGATTGCCAATTATTTTTCGTTGACGTGATTTCTTCAGAAATATTAGTTTGTTATCTTAAGGTTCAAGAGTCACATAGCTGATAGCCCTTTCCTTGATAACTTCAAATCTTTAAAATTGACTTTCTTTCATGCTCGGCCATAAATCTTTAGCTCAACAACTCTTGTCCTTTCTTGGTCCATTTCCATTTAATATGAGCAAACTTTAAGACCCGTTTGATTTGCATTTCAATTTTCAATTTTGAGGTTTGAGTTCATTTTTAGTTTTCTGTTTCGAATGTCTATTTTAAAATTGTTAAAAATGTATTTGATTTGCCATTTTGAAAAATTATTTCTCAAAACAAAAAATTAGAAAATGTGTTTGATTTAAAATTTTGAAAAAATATTTTATGATATTTTATTTCATAAAATTTGATTATTCAGTAAAAATGGAACAATATGATATTACTATATTATCAAATAATATACATATTTTAAAGTTAATGATTCTTACAATATTTTCAGTGTTTTCAAAAATCTCATCCAAAAACTCATAGTCGAAAATACATTTTGAATTTCATATTATATATTTGACATTATTTTCGAAAATATATTTTCAAAAATATCATACCAAAAATGTTTTCAATATTTCAAAAAATTGAAAAAATAATTTGAAAGCAGCAAGCCAATGCACTCTAAATTTTTTAACGGTTTCTCTAGACGGACAACGTAAGGTGCTTTCAAGGATTAGTTTTTGAAAAAAAAAAAAAGAAGTATGAATGTTGTCAGGTGCATAACGACATTAAAAATTCTTCTTGTACATAGATTGATGAGTTGTAAAAAGAAGGTTGGGAGAGTTTCTTATTTTTATTTGTTATATGAGATTTTGATCTTATCAAATTTCGTCACATCTACTATTGATAAATAAATTTATAAATTTGAAATGTACACGTAGCAAAATCATTCACTGCTTCAAAATCACTTTAAGATACCGCTTGCATTTTCTCATTTGCTTTTAAAGATAATTGTAGCAGCGGTCCCTAAACTTTTACTTTTTTTTTTGCAAACTTTACACCAATCTTCACTTTCTGATAGCAATCGTTTCAAACCTTCCAAATTTTCACACGTAGGGTTCAAATGGATAAAACCATCAATCTTACTGTTAGTTGACCAAAAAAGTATAAATAATCAATTTTGACCATTTTTTAAAAGGGTAAAACAGCAACTATACAATTTTCTCATATTAAGGGTCTGTTTGGTAGGGATTCTCATTTTCTGTAGTAAATCAATTCTTATTTTCAACCACACATTCTTCAATAAAATAATATTTTCCATTAAATCAATAATTTTTTCTTCTTTTTCAACCACATAATTCCCATCATATTACTATTCAAAATCAATTCTTCCTCCAAAAAATCCCTACCAAACAAGCTCTAAATAATTAAATAAAAAATTGAAAAAATATCATCTTCCACAATTATCCCCTTCAACATTCATGTCCAAACCCTACATCTACCCCAAAACCAAAATCACTGTTAATCGTCGACGCTTCTACCACCACCACCATCAAACCCACTGCCACTGTATTCTCCACTGCCAAATGGAACTCAAACGGGAAATCAAATTCGAACGCAAATTCATCTCGTCGTCTACCTCAAATTGTTGCTGCTCTATCCAAAATCGAACCCAAAATCATTGTTCCTTCCCCGTCTATTTGTGTTGTTAATGTGGTAAATGGGTTGAAGCTGTAGTGGTGGGTGGAGTTAACAATGCCGATGCAGTCCGTGCGATTATAAACTAGATTTGATTTGTGTTGTTAACGTGGTAAATGGAACCACCATTTAGATCTAAAGCGAAATCAAGAAGAGCAGTGAAGAAATTGCTATGAAGCAGTTAAAATTCCTTCCTCCATCGGACGACAGTGAAGAAATTGGAAATGGAAACGTCAAAAGTGCTACCTCCATCGAACGATAATGAAGAAATTGGAAAGGGAAGCAGTCAAAAGTGCTTCATCCATAGGACGACAGTGAAGTATTTTGGAAGTAAAGGTGGTAGATGAAGCCAATCAACTTTTGCTGACTTTTAGGAGTTGTGGTGGCGACGGTGGCTGGATGGTTTTCTGGCTTTGATTGAGTGGGGTGGAGTGGAAGGTGAGTTAATTTAATTTAATTTTAAAATTTAATGTGAAGGAAAATGCAAAGTACCATTTTACCCTTTTTAATTTGACTTTTTTGATAAACTAGCGGTAAGATTGATGGTTTCCATCCATTAGAATCCTAGGTGCGAATTTTTGAAAGATTTAAGAATATGGATGGTATAAAGTGAAAATTAGGATAAAATTTGCAAAAAAGTGAAAGATGAGACACTGTTATCCCTAATATGAATCATTTTGTACTTTCACACCAAAATTTTGACCGACTCCCCACTCAAGCATTAATTGCAAGAGTTTTGCACTACCAAGAGCATCTCCAAAGTTAGCACCAAAACACCCAAATTTGGTGCAAAAGCTCTCAAATGTAGCACCAAAGTTCGGAGCATTTTGCATCAAAATGGTGCAAAATCAAATTTACCATTTTTTTTTCCATTTACCAAACTATAACTATTTGATGGAGGGTGTTTGCGTTATATTTTTTTAATATATCATATTTTGATTAATATTAATATTATTTGCATTTAAAATATATTTTAATAATGTAAAAATAATAATAAATTAATTAATTAAAATTGCAACACAAAAAAAAAATCCTTAAAATAAATTTTCGTTAATTTAACTTAATTATTTATTTAGGGTGTGTTTGTATCCCATTATTGAAAGAAAAATAGAGTAATGAAAAGTATTTTTTGGAGAATGTGTGGTTAACATTTAAAGTAACTGTATTGGTTTGTGCGTATAATATTTTATTGGGTAAATGTGTGGTAGAAAATTTTATTGTAGCAAATAATTTTTTAGAATAATGGTAGACAAACAGGGACTTAGTAATTTATGTATTTGTAAAATAAATAAAGAAATAATTTTTCAAATAAATAAATTATTAAGAATAAAAAAAGAAGAAAATTCATTTGGTATAAATTTTGATGTAATAGTTGTAGATGATTTTTAGTTTAATGCAATATTTGACGTAAAATGGTGCAAAATTTTCATCAAATTTTGGTGTTGGGTGAGAGAGATAGGACGACGCCCTGATCGTTCAGGAATATTCTAATCGCAAACGGAAAGTGAAAATTCATTGCAAAAAAGTAAAATAATGTCTGGAATTGGGTTCTAAATATTCCCTCCAAATCCAAATCTCTTCTTTTCTTGGAAACCCCAAATTTTCAGCTTTTTCGTCCTTTTTGGTGAAACCAACAAATTTAAAGAAAATTGGGATTTTGTTCTGTTATGTGTCGTTACATTTGCACCTTACAGTTTCAGATGCATTCTTCTGTTTGAAGTAGAACCCACATCTTGATTTGACCGATTATTTGATTATTTTCTTTATATAAAATAAACGGAGTCCAAGTTTATGAGTTTATCTATAATTTGTGGTTAGTCTGCGGGGGTGTTTGGCGTTTTGTGGGCTTCAAGACTTGAGTTGACTTTTGGGTTTTTGCTTATTCAAGTTTTCTGTTTAAAAATATAGCTAAAATAAGAATCAAGTTTCAGTTGGTGAAGTATTTGGAACAGCAAAATGGCAGAAGCTGCAAACGCAAGGCTTGTGCGTTGTCCCAAGTGTGAAAAGCTCCTCTCCGAGCCTCCAGATTACTCTCTTTACGAGTGCGGTGGCTGTGGTGCTGTTCTCAAAGGTATAACATATGTAAAAGCCCGTATCAGTGTATGCGTGTGTATGTTTTGTTGGACTATGTTGAGCCTAATCATACTACGAATTGTTTAGGTGTATTTGGATTCAAGAGTTATTGCTATAGAAAGCAAAAATTATGGTTTAATCCTTGGCCTGTTTGTTGTATGCATACGTAACAAAAAAAAAAAAAGTGCCCTTTGTTTTCGTGTATACAATAGGCAACATAGAGATATCGTGTGGTTATGTAATTAATTGTAATTGCAGATTCTATGTGCTAAATAAGAAGTCGATGAATTTTTTAGAAAACGGCGTCTTGTATGTGTTTGTACTATCATTAATTATGGTGTTAAAAATGAAAGATTTATGGTTATGATTGAAAGAAAGAGTAAGTGGTCTTGAGTGAAATTTGAAATTTTGTTTTTTGTTATGTTTGCTTCTGATTGAAAAGCCAAAAAGAAGGGGATATTAACATTACAGCATGTTTGTTTACGCACTCAACATATATAAATATGATTCCGTGCAAGTAATTTTATCACATTTATGAACAGAAAACTTCAAAATGATAATATAATAAATCTTTATAATGTTTGAACTGAAGGGTGTGCGGATATTCATGTGAAGTTGTGAAATTTTGATAGTTAATTATGGTTGGTTTAATGAAACAGCTAAAAAGAAAGGGTTTATGGAAGATGGATTGTCAGAGGTATATGATTATGCAGAAGGTGTTGAAATTTCCGAGAAAGGTAGTACACGTAATGTTTCTGAGGTGGGCATGGAAAATAGCGTAGGAATTGAACATAATAGAGCAAATGAGATAAATGATATCGATAGAGTGGTTTTCAATGGCAGTTCCACAACAAGGATAGAAAATAAAGAAGTGCCATTCAATTCCCATGTGAAGAGAGAAGAAAGAGACAGAACTAGAAGACCAGAATATTTTGATGATGAGTACCACTCTTCTGCAGAGGGTATGACTAATGACGGGAGATGGGGTAAAGATATTGACTTGGACATGAAAAAGCTGGTATATTCTAATTTTCATAGTGAGAACGAGCTTGATGAAATTGGGCATCCAATGAGACCATTGAGGTCTAGGCCTGCTATGGACCAGTGGGGGCTGGAAAGAAATCGGTCAATGGCTTCTTCAGCAAATGCCAGAGCTGTAGCCCCAGATGGGAGGTTTGATAGTTCTCTGTATCATGGTGAGAGGCCGTTGAGCTATGACATGGATTCTTCTTATAGATATGGTGAGAGGATGAGATATCGGGATCATGATGTGGATGGGTTTACTAGAGTCGAAAACTTAGAGAATGATCGGGCTGAGCTCCTAAGGAAGCTCGATGAATTGAAGGATCAACTTATTCGATCCTGTGATTTAGCAGAAAAACCTAATGGGCTCGGTACTGATAGAAGGATGCCTACAACTCCACCCGATCCACATGGTAGGCATCATGCTACTTATGTGCAAGAAGGCTTGGCTAGTTCACATGGTGTTAACCAACAACCCTTAGGTCCCAGTGATTTGAAAACCATACATTCAAGTTACGATCATGGACGCATTCCTCACATGGATAACTTTGGTTCAATACTGCAAGAGTCTTATCCTCAAAGGAACTTCCCACCCGAGTTCTTGGGGTATGGTGATATTTATCAGCCAGAAATATTCCGTAGGCCTCCTAGTCAGCCGCCACCTGAATTTTTGCAATGGCCGTCTCATGAGTACCACCCAGGTCACTACATGGATATCAATCGCAACCTTTTTGCTTCACATCCACATGAAGCCTTTTTACACCAGTCTGCATGTTCTTGTGTGCACTGCTTTAACAATAACTGGCGTTTGCCTCCTAAAATTCATCAAAGGTCTCAAGACGACCCCAATCTTCTCTACCATCCACATCCTGTTTTGCAACGTCTCCAGGGTTATATATCTGAAGGGTCCAATTCTCGTCAAATGCATTCTCGACAGCCCCTGACAATGAGTTCAGATGGCGTTGATTCAGAAAATGGTGGTTTAATTTACCACCGTCCTAAAAAGGCAGTGGTATCCCATGGGAGTGGACGAATCTGCAGTCCCCTAGCAGGCGGTGCCCCTTTCATAACATGCTGTAACTGCTTTGAGTTACTGAAACTGCGGAGGAAGCACATCTCAATGGCGAAAAATCAACAGAAAATAAAATGTGGATCTTGTTCTTCCATAGTCTTGTTCGAGCTCGGTAACAATGGGATTATTATTTCAGTCCTTGCAAACATCGACCAAGTTGCAACAGAGACTGTCAGTGGTTCTACTGGAACACTGGATGAAAATTTTAGTTATTCGCATGGCGATTTTGGTGCAAATACTGTTGATATGAACCCGTGCTCTAATGCTTATGATGACTCTGAACCCAAGTATTCTCCAAGAGACAAGAAGTCAAATTCTAGTGAGTCTGGGAAGCGGCTGGACCCACTTTCTCTATCTTCCAGTTTCTCTGAGAATGAGCAGAGACTGGACATTGTACATGCTAGAAAAGATATTTCTCCTTCTGCTGAGTTGCCTTTTAAAGAAGTCACACCTTACCCACTTCCTGATTCACTTCCCCATCAATGTCCTGATCATTCTTCTGCTAATAATATGGTCAATCGATATGAAAAGGGTAACGAAAGTAAACGATCTGAGCAGGAGAAGGTTGGCCTTGATAAGCTTACATCTCGGCAGAATTCTGTAAAAGATGCACCAGTGGCAACTGAGATGGACGTATCATTGAATGAATTTTTGAATAGCTGTGTATCTCAGGACTCGGTTGACAAAAGTAAAGAAGATCAACCAAGGATCACTAAAGGGGGCGAGTCTTTCTTCGCTGGTCTTATCAAAAAGAGCTTCCGAGACTTCTCAAAGTCTAATCAAAATGTAGAGGATGGAGGATCACAAGTGTTTGTCAATGGGCATTTTATACCAGATCGTTTAGTTAAGAAGGCTGAAAAGCTAGCTGGACCTATTCAACCCGGAGGGTACTGGTGAGTACATAGACAAAAGTTTGTTGCTGCTTTTATATGGACTAAACTTGCATCTCTGAGTTCATCATCTATGTAGTGAATCCTATTCCCATATATTTATCAAAACGAAAAAGGAATCCTTCTGCTATGGATTTCACATAAAAATAGCTCTAATACAGCATTCTGAAAAAAGAAGTATTTTGTAAGCAAGACACTAATGTCTGTTTACTTTTTCAAGTGAACACCTCCACGTACTTATCTCTACCCGCCAATTTTTTATTTTATTTATTTACCTTTTTTCCCCCCTCAAAGTATGAATTTGGGCAACCACATATAAGATTCCTGAGGCCATCATTTCTGGAGAGGGCCTTGCTGTATATCCATCCGAAATTGAGAGCATGACTCCGTGGCCAACTTCCACCAGTGTGAAATCCTTGAGGGGGGGTTTTGGGCTTTAGTTGGTATTGGTATTATAGGACACCTGTGAAAAACTCTGAAAAGATAGCCAGTCACCGATAAACCTATTGAAGAAGGGACTTTTTCCACTTAAATAATGCATCTTCTGATATCAGAATATATTGAAGCTATATAGTTCACTCTTGTGATTAGTGGCTCTGATCTTGTCTTTTTGACCGGAAACACTAATGAAGATTTTCGAAAATTCTATGATAAACCAAACCAGGTACGACATTCAAGCTGGATTTTGGGGTGTCATGGGACATCCTTGCCTTGGGATTATCATGGTGAGTTCAATGAACATTTGGTGCACAATATCCTTTTCCTTGAATAGAAGTTTATTTCAAATCTTGTTTTATCATTCAAGAAAAGAAATGTAGTAATGATTTCAAAATGCTGGAACGTTAATGTCATGCAGCCAAACATTGAGGAATTCGATTACCCTATGCCAGAAAATTGTGCTGCCGGAAACACGGGGGTTTTTGTAAATGGGCGTGATCTTCACCAGAAAGATTTAGATTTACTTTCTATCAGAGGTCTTCCAATCACAAGACATAGATCTTATATCGTTGAGATTTCTGGGAAAGTGATGGATGAACACACCGGTGAAGAACTAGATCGCCTTGGCAAACTTGCCCCAACGTAAGTTTTTCTACTTTCTGTAATAAATTGTACTTGTTAGTGTTGTGCTGTTTTTTATATTAGACGAAGAAAATAATGGCAAACATTTTATATCTTGAGATGATATCTACTGGCTGCCATGGGATATATTGATCTTAAAGTAATTTCTACGCACGTGTACTAATTAATACTGAAAATCAAACAGGGTTCAGAGACAGAAGCGGGGATTTGGTATGAAAGTTCCCAGGTTTCTTGCGCAATTGCAGGATTAGTTTCAGATACTTGCTGCCCTGTCAATGTTTTACGAGTTGATGAAGTAACTATTTTATTCAGGCAAGTGGTTGACGCCCGAAGACTTTATTCTTCGGCTACATTCTATGTTTGTTATTTTCTGTATCTGAAAAATTTGTAGCAAGTGCTATGACTGATTTTGCTTTGCTAGAGTGGGGTATAACATGGAGTGGAGTATTCGAGGTTTGAGACCAAGCCAATCCTGGCTTATGGCACGGGTGATGGGCTCGAGGGTTGAAGCATGTGGCACTTATGGACAGGCCCATGACTGTTTGTATATAAAATATTGCAATGGTTTTATTGATTGTTTAGTAATGTTAATTCAACTGAATGTATGGATGATAAGCGAGTAATAAGTTATAACTTAAGTTTTGCCAAACATGCTCTTAACTACTAGTGAGTTTTACAAACTTTAACTTCAATTGGATGTACTTTGGATCCAATTTATATTAATTACTTTGATTTTAATATAAAATGAAACACTAAAGATATGGTTACACAATCATAATAAGACCTATCAACTAAACTTCACGTCATGGGGCCATTACTTACTTCATCATCTTAACCCATCAAAGAGACTAGCTATTTTTTATTATTATTATTATTATTATTATTATTAAGAGAAGTCAATAATTATAGAATCCAACAAATATACAGATAAAAGTGTATTTTAATTATAATTTGAACTCGCCAAATATCACCATAATAGTCTTTAAAAGTTATTTGGCATTGTTTGGGAGGAATTTAGATTTTTTTACAGTAAATCAATTTTCATTTTCAATCACACATTTTTCAATAAAATAATATTTTTCACCACATTAATAATTTTTTTTTTCTTTTTCAATCACACATTTCACATCATATCACTATTTAAAATCAATTCTTCCCCCAAAAATTCCTCCCAAACAAACTCAAAATAATTTTTTTTGGGTCTAGTAAAATAAAATAATTAACGTATCTAAGCCTATTTAAAAAGAGTAATGTTATTCATCCCCAATGGGAGTGAAAACACAATCTATATGACATTAAATGATGGTTAAATGAAATGTGAAATTAAATGACTTATTTAATTTCACCTATCATTTAATGCCACATTAACGTCACGTAGATTGTGTATCGTTTAAAAATTAGCTTTAACCCAAACATTCTGTATTTACAGCTCAGAAACTAGAGAGGCGTGCAGGGTGTCCTTTTACTCTTGTCGGTTGTCAAATATTAATTTCACTTGCAGTTCCAACTTTTTGTTTGAGTAACATATTAACCATCAACTTTTAGAAAAAGAGCAAATTAATCTCCAAACATTCATTATACTCAATCAAGATGCGCTGTCAACATTTCTTAGCTAAATTTTAATACATTACTATAATTTTGAAGAGCCAAGATTTTACTGCATTTTCGATTTATTATGAGCTTTTGATATTCCAAAATTGTACGAAATTAATCTTCTATCTGTTAAATAAATTTATGTAAAACTTTACTTCCAAATTGAGATGACACCTAAAATTTAGGAACATGATATCTTTACATGGGAGTCACATTATAATTTAACATGTAAAATTGACGATTTCAATCATAGAAATGTAACTAATGTATAATAAAAAGTTAAGAATAACTTGTTACTTTTAAAGATTGAAGAATAATTTACTTACTAATGGTTCAATAAGTTAGGGACCAATGCTGCAGTTTTATCTATAAAATCATCAAAGCTGCCACAGCCTGGGGAAGGATTGAATGAGAGTGAGAAAGGCTTAAAACTGAAAGATAAGAGTGGAAAATGGTGAAGAAAATGCTGTACAATTGGAAATATTGGTGGAGATCTCGTCACAACCACAATTACTTCGTAATCAAATTGGGTGTTTCAATTCTTTTAGTGGGTCTAGCATTTAGGCTTCTCTATACTCGATTCACCGGATTTTCTCCTATTTCCGACAACACATTTCTTGAAAATGCCCAGATTTCACCGCTCCCTGTTCTTCCTCTAATTTCTCAAGAAAAAAAAGATGGATTTCCTCCTGAAGGTCAGATCCTTTTGTTTCTAACTCCCTTTAGTTTTCCTTAATTTTAATGGGTTATCCTTATCATGTATGAGAAATTCGTGTGAGGTGGCAAAATATTGATGAACAAGAGGTTAATGCTGCTTTATAGTAGTATGAGATCTGTTAAAAAGGTTAAATAAGTTTTATATTGGTTTAGAGCATGTTTGGCTCAGATTAAAAAGTGAGTTGCTTTTACTCATAAAATAAGTAATTCACTTCTTTTCAACTTTTAAGCATAGTGTTGATGGCATTATACAGTGAGTTGTACGGTGAGTCTTACTTTACTTTGAGGTTGTGTTTGAGGCACCGGATTAGTCTGTATAAAGAACCTAGTATAAAATTAAAATGGATAACAGTTGGTGATTGGTTGTGTATAAAATTCTTTTTATCCTTCAGTAAGAAAAATGCCGTTTGCACTATAAATATACAACATAATGCAGCGGTGAGGGTGAAGATGGTTTTATACTGGATAAGATAAATAGTATACTTAATTCTATGCACGGTCTAATATGGCGTACCAAACACGAACTGATTGTCATGGTTATAGTAATGTAATCAGTCTGCATTTCAAATAAGAATTTCCACTTTTGTTTAGTGCAGTATATTAATTTATGATGGGTTTTTGTTCAGCTTAGATATGTTTATTGGCTGGTTTTGATTGTCTTGCTCCCAACATAGATTGATTTGCTGCTGTACTAAACCACTCGATTGGTATGATCCCTCCGTCACCCCTGAAAGGGATGATTTTGTAATTCTTGGTTTGTGAAGAAATGTTATCATGTGTTATTTGTCATATTAAGATATCACTGAATGATTGCCAATTTGGTTGTGTATTAATAGTTGTTCACTGGTATGCTACAGAAGATGCTGGAAAGTGTAATGTATTTATCGGGGATTGGATTCCTTATCAGGGAGAACCCATCTACACAAATGAGAGTTGCAGCTTCATTGAAGACCACCAGAATTGTATGAAGAATGGACGGCCAGACACAGGGTATCTCCATTGGAGGTGGAATCCTCATGGTTGCAAGTTGGCTCGGTTTGATCCAGATAGGTTTCTGGAGTCGATGAGGAATAAAAGTTGGGCACTGATTGGCGATTCAATATCACGAAATCATATCCAGTCATTGCTTTGCATTCTCTCTACGGTAAAATTGAAAAAAATTGCTATCATTCATTCATTTATGAAATCTGTCTTGTCTTGATAATTTTGGAAATGCTATGTACTTGCTTCAAGGCAATAGCACGAGTTTTAGATAATGCAGATTACTTTCTGCTGTGTTTTTCTTGATACATTATATAGAATGCATCAAAATCATTTCTTGTCTGTGCTGGTTTGCCTAGAACTATTTTGACCACCAAGTTTTGTTGTTTGGAGCTCGAGCATCTCTGGCTTACCTTGTACTTTCAGGGTGCAAGAGTCAAACTTAGTTCTTCGGTATAGCAGAAATTGCCTAGGCTGCCAAATGAAATGAAATGAAAAAAGAAAAATCAAATTACAGTATTACTGTTGGAATTTATATTTCTCAAAGGGGACAATAAAAAGGAGAAGTATTTTAAGACCTTTTCCTATTGTGAGCATTATGTGGTTCACTTTGTAATTCATCTGATTTTTCTTGAACCTGACTGGATTGACAGTAATTTAAATTCCAGTAACATATTATGTTGCAATCAAAAATGTTATTCTGAACTCACATGCCATTGACATTTAGCTCTCTCTCTCTCTTTTTTTTTTTTTGCCTGCAGATGGAAAAGGCTGTTGAAGTTTACCATGACGAGGGATACAAATCGAGAAGATGGATTTTCCCCACGTACAACTTCACCATATCAGTTATTTGGTCCCCTCTCCTTGCAAAAGCCTCCATTTTTGAAGATGTGAATGGCGTTTCAACATCTGAGATTGAACTACATCTTGACATTCTTGACAAGAATTGGACTAAACAGTTTCAGAGCCTCGATTACATGATAATATCTAGTGGTAAATGGTTTATAAAAAATGCAATCTACTATGAGAACAGCAAGGTACTAGGCTGCCACAACTGTCCTAAGAGGAACTTCACAGAACTCGGGTTCAAGTTTGCTTATCGCAAAGTCCTCCACATTGTTTTTGATTACATTATCAGGTCTAACCACAAGGGCACGATCTTCTTCAGGACCTCTACACCCGATCACTTTGAGAATGGAGAATGGTTCAGCGGTGGGTCATGTAGAAGAACAGTGCCAGCAAAGGAAGGCGACTTCGGGTTAAGTGACGTGAACAAAGCTCTACGTGAAGTCGAATTAGAGGAATTCGAGAAGGCATCAGCTAAAGCTTCTCAAAATGGGGTAAACCTTAAACTTTTTGATGTAACTCCTCTTTCGTTATTGCGCCCGGATGGACACCCGGGTCCATATAGATTTTTTCAACCATTTGCCAAAGATAAGAATGCGAAAATGATAAATGACTGCCTGCACTGGTGTCTTCCCGGCCCGATCGATTCTTGGAATGATCTGTTAATGGATATGGTGTTTAACGGTTGAGAAAATTGTATGGTGTAAATAATATAGAGCTCATTGGTGTTCGTGACATTTCTCACTTGGATTTGTATTCCTCTGCTAGTTTTCGTATAAATTTTGTTAATCAGAAGAAGAGTTAAAATCCCATTCATTGTGCATTTTATCCTGTTTACTGTGATAGCACTAAACTCCATTCGGGGATATTTTCACTCTAGTTTGTATTCAAGCCCTTAATTCCAAGTCTCATTCCGATGTCATAGTAGTTAATAAATGATGTCCGTTTCATCATTTATTAACGAGTAAGTCATTTAATTTCACTTTTCATTTAACTTATCATTTAAAGTCATATAGACTGTATTTTCATTCCCACTGAGAATGAAGACAAATTACCGAAATCATGGCCTAAAGTATAATTATTGAATACGTAAATATTTAATTAAAGAGAGTTGAAGCAAACGATCGTTAGATGATTTTTGGGGGTCTGATCTGAATTGTCGGCATGCTTTTCTGACAATTCGTTGGATTCAAATTCCAGCACAAGAAAGGGCTAAAAAGCAAGTCAACGCATTTTATTGCATTTAGCCACGTTTGAACCCAGGGTTTGTAGATTTTAATATTTTACGAGGAAAAAGTACGTGTGAATGAAAATGAATTTCCATATTTTACAATAAAATGTTTGCTTAATACCAATTTTAAATGTTTAGTAAATGAAAATATATCCCAACTTGAATGAGATCCTCGGTGCCAGCCTAGCATATAACATTACTCCGTTTTCTTTTCAAATAGAATAACGATATGCATCACAGTTTCATTATAGACACTATTAGCTAGATTGGTGTTAAAAGAGCCACAGTCTATTGTATGACACTCGATTTTTTTGTAAAGATATGATTGGATGGAAAATTAATTTTTCAAACCACAATCCGCCGATGGATTTGAATTTGGGTCAATGTCTACCCACCTTATTTATGAAAGGAGTGGTTCGCACAGGCACAGCCCATCATTTTCGTTCTGCGTTCTCTTGAATCCTCTTCTTTCGGGCACGAAATGCACTCCCAAGAAAGACTGGAGGTTTTATTGGAGAAACCAGGTAACCATCTCTAATTCTTCCACTATGTTCAATTGAATATTTCAAAACCACGCTCATCACTTCACCCACCACCTCATTTACTTTAGTAAAAAAATGAAATAGTAGGTGTGATTGAAATAATATTATTTTGATTTTAATCATCGATTTGAGATGTTCGCCACTTACGTTTCGGAGTTGATACGCAACCAGTGTTTATCCATTTTCACCCTATTGATATTAATATGGAATATATTTTTCTTTTCTTTTTTATTTATAAACTCTATTTCTAAATTTAAGTAGTAGTTGTAGAAGATTAGAATTACTAGTTTTGATGACGAAAATTATTATTTTCATATTAACAGTTATTACTATAAATAGCTTGGAAACCCAAATTGAAGCTAATGTACAAAAATATACATGGATAGATATGCACTTTGTATGTATCGATCAATGGACGACGACAAGGCATAGCTTAATTTCTGCCGTCCTTTTTTTCTGTTTGCCTCATTCATCAATTTTCGTCGCTCTACATACACGATATAATATATGTAGATGTGCTGAATTTGTCAATGGCAGAGGCTGCATCAAAACCAAATGAATCGTTACGAAATAATCGCCAGGACGAAGACGCCGGAGCAGCTTTTGTATTGGAGTCTAAAGGTCAGATTTCTATCAATTTCTGAAACTATGTATGGTAAAAAAGGCAGTTCATTTAAAATTAATTGGATTCCTATAGTAAAAGTACTGACGGAGAAGATTTGGATGGATTTATAAACTGTAGGAAAATGGTGGCATGCGGGGTTTCATTTGACGACGGCAATAGTGGGGCCCACAATACTGACCTTGCCGTACGCATTCCGGGGGCTGGGATGGGGACTAGGGTTCTTTTGCTTAACGGTGATGGGGGTGGTGACTTTTTACTCCTATTATCTAATGTCATTGGTGCTTGACCATTGTGAGAAGGCTGGACGCCGCCACATACGATTCCGGGAACTTGCTGCTGATGTATTGGGTACGTAATTGATCACGTTAATAACAAACAATGTTGATATTTTTTCTAATCCATTTCTTGGCTTTCCCACCACCACCATTAAGTGTCACAATTCTACTAAGTACGAGAAAGAAATGGTGAATTTATGATTTTCTTTCATGTCCTCTTTTATCATGGGGTGAGCTTCTCAATGGATGAGAGGTAAAGAACCAGTATGTGGCGGAATTTGACAAGCGAAAAAATATAATTACGAATTTATGTGCGTTTGACTATGCTTAGAAGTTAGTTTTAATGACTTTTTTTTGATAGGCTGTTTTGGAAGTTATATCTTTTATGTGATTTTTAGTTTAGAAAGTACTTTTTACATTTTTTTAAGCTTAACTGAACACGATCTTCATCTCATGTGAAATCAGATCTGTTTAGAGGATATCTTGTTTTCATTACAGTAAGACTTAACGGATTTCAAAGAGAAAAGGAATAGATAAACTCCTGCACGTTGTTTGTTTCATTTGCAAATCTATGGGTTTTGTGGTTGCTGGAAGAATGGTGAGTAGATTGCTGTGATGAGAAAAATCAATTGTCAAAAGATGTGTAGGAGACCGAGATAGTATTTTTTGGTATAATCGTAAAATGTTTTGCTATTAAATTATTGATCACGAATGATTAAACGAGAAAAAGTCAATTATGCTCTTTACCTTTCCTCAGAGAACCATAATTATCTTTAAAAAGAGGTTCTACTTAAGCATGTGCCTTTGCCACCAGTTGAATTCTTGTTTCGTCACACAAAAATTTGATGGATAATGTCACCATAAGGTCTGAAATAAGTGAAAATTTGAAGTTACGGAAAAGTTCTAGCTAACCACACGACTACCTTTTCTTAAAGAATGTCCTTTAATTATGCTGTTTCTCTTTCCAAGTGTTCAATCTTCTTTTCAATTACTTTTTCCTTTTCCTTGTTTGTTTGTGATAAGAGTATTAATATATGCGTAGAGTTTAATTACAGCGCACATCTAGTTTCCTTCTGCACGCAGTTTGTTTGGTGAGAAGGTTAAGGTTCAATTTCTTTATCCTTCGAAAAAATTTCAGATGCAAATGGTCAGTAAGTGTGTAAATTGTGTATTTAAAGTTCTCCTGAACAATGCTCTCTGCATTCTTCAATGCGAGTTTATTGTAAACATATAGATATCAGCTCATTGTCACTAGCCATAAATCCTTGGAAATAGCATTTTTGCCTAGCGAAATATTTAAATACAAGAAGAGGCCAGAATAAGAAATAGTATGCTGGATTTGTCTATGGGAACTTCTTTTTTTCTGAGTTTTTGCTTTTATTTCTAATAGGGTCTGGCTGGATGTTCTATTTTGTGATATTCATTCAGACAGCAATCAACACCGGTATCAGCATAGGAGCTATTCTGCTTGCAGGAGAATGCCTCCAGGTATAGCAATGTAGTTACCTAATTTCTTCTTGAAGTGGACAGATGACTCCAATAAAATGATCTGTTTACAGCTTACAGTGAATGGCTTTAGCCATAAAATGTTATGGAAGCAGGATGTTCACTAAAGCATAATTGTTGACAGCCTAATGCATACTTGAAAGTGCAACATAAAACCAGGAGGCCTGAGGAATGTCTTCATGGGACATAATATATGTATTGACTAATTACTAAGAGATATGCCCAACATAGGATGGTTAAAAATTCCAAAACCTACAACAGCTCCAATTTAATGGGTTTTTATGACATTTTAATTTGTCAAAAGAATGAAACACAGAAAATTAAAGAAAATATATTTTTATATTTTCCACTATCCCTTGTTTCCGAATTTAGAAGATGTAATTTCCCTTTTAAAATGATGTGAGGGAAATGAATTTTCACAATCATAAATATTTAGAGGCTACTTAGCTTTATCTTTTATTTTAGCTTTTATGGAGTTTTAAGGCTAAGTTCTGCGAAATTATTAACCATTTGAAATTTTCAGTTTTGTTTTTCTTCATTTTGAAATCATCTTCATTTCTTTGGCTGGTACAGATTATGTATTCGAACCTTTCTCCCGGTGGTTCACTGAAATTGTATCACTTCATAGCAATGGTGACTGCAGTTATGATAGCTCTCTCTCAGTTTCCAACTTTCCATTCCCTCAGGCACATTAACCTCGTGTCTCTTCTTCTCAGCTTGGGTTATACGTTCCTCGTGGTTGGTGCTTGTATTCATGCTGGTAAACCTCCTTCCAGTACTTTTTACCCTACCATACTGCATTATTATAGAGTTAATTTTTAGTAAGCAACAAAGCAGAGATTCTGGTCTTCAATTTACCACTAAGACAATCAAATGTTGGTTGAAGCAATGATGAGTAAACTGAACTTTCTCCATTTATTTGAAGTCAAGCATCATCAGGGATTCAATGTGATCCCTGATATCTTTTACTCATTCTCATTTTAATTTAGCTTCAAAAGAATTTGTCATGTTCAAATATTTCATTTTACATCACTAGATTACCATGACTTAGCCCATGTTTGGCCCCCATTAAATTACATTACATTACATTAAATTTTTCTCTCTCTTCATTACAACCACATATTCATCAAATAAAATAATATTACACACAAATCTAAAACTTTTCATTACTTTTCTACCACACATTCTCCCATCAATCACTATTCCAAAAATTTTAATCCATCAAAAATGCAAAATAATGGGGGCCAAACAGGGGCTTAAGTAGCATTTGATTTTGGTTAGTGATCTTATAGGTACCTCCGAAAATGCACCTCCAAGGGACTATTCTTTGGAATCTTCGGAATCAACAAGGGTGTTCAATGCATTTACTTCCATATCCATAATAGCTGCCATTTTTGGGAATGGGATACTACCCGAAATACAAGTAACTACGTCTCTCTTGTTGAATTTTGCCTTAACATGTTAGACGTATGAGTTCACATGAATTTCTATCCATGTGGCTTTTGGTGATATATTTCGAAATGCAACCTATTCTGGCACTTATCGATCTGGGTCATTATACCGTTTGTTAAGAACAGATGCAATTTGATGGCTAAGATCACGAAACCCCACTAACCAATAACCCATTAACGTAGCTAAAAACCATATTTTTCCAACGCAGAAAGTATTATTAGTGTAAAGATCAAGGATGATCACTAACGTCAAATAATGCAATTCTTACAACTGGATTTCATTCTATGCGTGCTAAAAGATTATTTTCCTAATGTTTCCTTCGCAATCAATACAGGCAACTCTTGCTCCACCAGCTACCGGGAAGATGGTAAAAGGATTATTAATGTGTTACACAGTAATTTTCTTCACGTTCTACTCTGCTGCAGTTTCTGGATACAGGGTTTTTGGGAACAAATCTAATTCAAATATACTCAAAAGCTTAATGCCAGACGAGGGACCTTCCTTGGCTCCTGTACCTGTTTTAGGTCTCGCTGTTATATTCGTTCTCCTTCAACTTTTCGCCATTGGCCTGGTAAAAATAAATGCAATCACCCTCCTGATTTCTTCACCGTGTCGTATTGATTTCCATATTTCTATACTCGTGACATTTTTTTGTTTATTTCTTAAACAATGCAGGTTTATTCTCAAGTAGCTTATGAGATAATGGAAAAGAAATCGGCTGATGTGAACCAGGGGATTTTCTCGAAAAGAAACCTGATCCCAAGGATTATCCTTCGCTCACTATATGTGGTATTCTGTGGATTTTTTGCAGCTATGCTGCCTTTCTTTGGCGACATCAACGGGGTCGTGGGAGCTGTCGGATTCATCCCCCTCGACTTTGTTCTCCCAATGCTTCTCTATAACATGACTTATAAACCATCAAAATCATCCATCAAATATTGGATCAACAACTCTATTATAATAATCTTCACAGGAGCTGGATTAATGGGAGCCTTTTCTTCAACAAGGAAGCTGGTTCTTGATGCTAAAGAGTTCAAACTTTTTAGCAGTGATGTTGTTGATTGATTTACTCTTGGAGTAGTCATTTAAGATTTTAAGCGGTCAGGGAGGAGACAAGCGTTCCCTCGTATGCATGCTAGATTCACGTTTTCACGCACAACTTTTCATAAATTAGCAAACATTGGATGAGACTTGTATTCAGGAATTGCTCTAGAAAGAGTAACATTTCATGTATATGTTTACGATGTTGTGTCAAAATAGAAAGCACGAAAATCTTGTGGGTTGCCAGAAGAGTATACAAGTAGTGTGCTATTTCTTCAATTTCATTATCATTTTTAACTACCAAATATATAGTTAAAATTTAAATTTTAATATGAGAATTGTTCTATTCTCTTATTTTAGGCTTCGGTGTTTAAATAGCCACATAGGTGCGCATACCCTTCTATTTGTATGGACAAAAATCAGTGGCATCTCAACTGGAATAACTTTACCAACAATTTAATGAAAATTAAAATGTAAGCATCTCCAAGGAACTTTTTATTTATTAAGAATATTTTATGCATTATAAAGAGTATTTTTAAATTTAGAGAGTAAAAAATTTTACGCAATCCAATAATGCTCTTTATTTTAATTCTTCATTTTGCTTTTCTCAATTAATATATATTAATTTCTCCTCAATTTTATTCAGCATAGTTTTTTTTTTTTTTTTTTTATGTGTGGTCAATCAATTTAAATATGATTTGAATAGTTTAAGAAATATAATATTGAAATTTATAAATTATTAAATTCAATCAATCTAATCATCGTTCATTAAAAGTAGAGATGAGTTTTACTCTCTAAATATGGAGAGTCAAACGCACTCTCTATTTTAAAAAGTTATAATAGAGAGTTTCTTAAAACTTATTTTTAACCAATAACTCTTTAAAATAAAGAGTATTTTGTATTTAGAGAATTTTCTTAGGATTGCTTTAGTGGATCATAGTTTAAGAAGAAAATTGACGTCATTTGAAGTTTAAGATAAAGATTGACTTTCAATTATAATTACAAGACTTAGGGTTTAATAAAACAAACCTCCATTAAACCAAATTTGTACCTTTTGAAGTTGTCAAATGAACGTTTGTCACGGTCCGATCCAACTTGTCCTTAGAAAGATCCAACTCTGAAAAATAGTAACACGCAATAAAAGTGATTATATGATTCAATAAAACATGTATTGTAATTGCACTAACTACTCCAAGTTGTCATCCTCCTTAAATCCATACCATTATTGGGATCAATTTGTCTCTTTTCTTTTGTGGAGAGCATCCTTTCCTTTGCGTATATTAATTAAAAGTAAGAGTTTGTTTTTCAACCTTACGATATGACTTAAATTGCAAAACAAGAGCAAAAACTTAGCATTCAAACAACTGCTCCCATCCCATCATACACTTCATACACTTCAAATTCAAAATTACCTAGTTATTCCAAGAAAAAAAATTCTTTTACTTATAAAATGTTTATGTACTTGGAAGTAACAAATCTTTGGTATCAACCTCGATGAATACCATAAGGGAAATACGTCGAGAACTCAATATAAACTTTTTAAGAGTTTTCTTTCTCCCACATAGGTTAAATATACAATCCATTAGTACGCATTCTATATTTATTGCGATGAAAAAGATTCAAAAAAGTAGAGTAACAAAGGGAGTTGAAGTGATTCCATCCCAAAAGGGTAAGAATATGTGTATTCAATTTTACGACGATCCCTTTAATTCACATGGTATACTAGAAAACATTGTTGTAATTTCATGACTCAAATGTACAAAATAATCAATATGGATTTTATCAAAACTCAAGACTAAGCTGACAACATATATTGGGTTGGACCACTTTGTAGCCTATATTTATTCAAATATCAAATAATCAAAATTTTGATGTTTCTTATTAGCAAAGTATGATCATGTGAACCTCTTAATGGCAAGCTATCAAACTCCACGGGAAGAGAGTGAGTCAACTCAGCACATTAAGTTGTGGTCAATAATTTAACAAATTGGTAATGTGATCCTTTCGTCATTAATTATTTTTAATCGATAACTTTTGTCCCACATCTCGTTTACAAAGATTTTAAGAATGACTACAAATTATTTCTGTCATTATAAGTAGTTATTATAAAACAAGAAGAAATCTTAGAAAATTTATTCTTAAAATAACAAGAAATATTAAAAAAATTATTTAAATATTTTTCGAAGATAGTGATAAAGGTTGGGATCAACCAACCTCTCATAAAACGCCACCGTTTGACCACATGAAAGTTTACACGTACAACCTCACCACCAGGTACTAGTGGTATAAATTGTGGAGACTTGGACTTATTGCCTTTCGATTCAAACAGAAACACCAAGAAACTTCCTCCACTCTCGATCTTCATTGAATACCTTTGAACGCTTTTCCTTATATTTTAGGATTCGCGTCCCACGATAATACCTTCGACCATCATTGCCAAGACTACTGGGGAAAATGCAGAAAACAGAAGAATCAAGGCAGAAAGAAAAACAGTCAGAGATTACAAAGGGCCCTCCGATTTGGGATTGTGGAAGCTCACTGTACGATTCCTTTGAGAGGAAAGCATTTGAAAAGCAACTCGATTCCGCCATAACTTCGAGGACTCTCTCGATGCCTCATTTATCCGATCGCCGCCTTCAGCCGCCGGCGACAGGCCCGCAAATTTTGAACAAAAAATCATCGAAATTGTCTCGGTCTTTTCACAAGCTACTCCGATCTGTTTTCAGGCAGAAGCATAATAAATCAGGCGACGGATTTTATGTTGCTTATGATACGTCCAGTACACTTTCTACGATTCCAGAGGCGCCGGAGTTTGATGGACTTTCGCCGGAAATTAGGTCTTTGGTAAGAAGAACGGCCTCCGACAGATTCACGGCGACTTCTATTGAGATTTATTGTGCCTGATGTATACAAGTTGATATCTTTGTAAATTTTAATGGTAAATATGTGCAGTATTAGGCATTTCCGGTATCTATCTTATGTAGTCTCAAATAATACGATATTGTCGACTGTTTGAATAATAAGATTTTAATTTCAAATAATTTTGGTTTAGAAATTTTGACATTTACTCAAATTTTGTGTAAGAGTTTACAAGAAAGATATACACAATTTCGCTCAAGTAGACGGTTTTGTTTGCTTGAAAAATACAACAATCAAAGCCCCAAGTCTCTGAATTAGTCCGTCGGTTTTGAAGAATCGTGCACTTACGGTCTTAATGTGCCATCATTATTGGAGTTTCACGGACGCTGATACAAATTAATGACTATTTCAATAACTAATTGTGTACAGAGGAAACCATTCAGAGTGGTTGAAGTAATACCAGTCTTAAAAGATAAACAGTAGCTAATAATATATTATGTGCCTGAGCATATGGTAAAATTGAAAATTCAATTCCAAAATAATACTCATGTGAACCCGGCCACCTGGGACACTAAAAATTCAATTTCGTATCCCCTGCCCAAGTTAATTATATGAGGTTCAACCTTTTGAGACCGATGCATTAACAGAATTAGTCAAGTAAACACTCAATGAAAATCAATCAACATCCATAATCAAATCGACAATTTGAGCTCAGAGTTCACCATAGATGCAGTGTTTTCCTTATGTATATTTTGACCTCAGAGTTCACCATATCTTACTTTCATTTTTCAATATATATTTTGTTACCATTAATGTAAATGTACATTTTACAGATTCATTTCACGCGTGTGCTTTCATTAATGTATGAATTCCCTATTATTAATTCTCAATTAATTAATATTAATATTTACATTCATTTAATTAATCACCATAGATGCAGTGTTTTCCTTCACATGCCGCCCACATGAACCAACAAGAATCCAGGAAAGATATTTCAGCAGCCCAGTCCTCTGCCATGTCGCAATTGATTGAAATGACTAGGACGGTGTCCAATGTCCAAACCCATATATAAAGGGTCATTTCCTTCGTAAAAGTCGATCTCTCAAATACACATTTAACCTAAAACGTAATCTTCGACCATTGCATATACCAACGATTTATTATTTTCATCGTTTTTTTAACATCAACAACTAAGAACAAACTTGCTACAAAATTGAAAATGGATGTTCTCATATGATGATGCTCTCTCAATCTCTCCGATCAAACATGCCATACGCGGAATTTCACCGTTCACATGTCTATAATATATTAACCCCCCATGTTTGGTTTTAAAAATAAAATTCGAATTTTAATCTAAATCACGGTCAACAATTAATTTTAACCACACATTTCATTGGATCCACAACTTTTCCACCAGACATTCAATCAATTTTTATCAAAATCTACTAAAAACCTGATTTTAATCCTCACCAAATATTATATCAAGTTAAAATCATTTTGGACGATTTTAATCCTACTTTAATTCAATTATTTCAATAATATCTTACTTTCATTTTTCAATATATATTTTGTTACCATTAATGTAAATGTACATTTTACAGATTCATTTCACGCGTGTGCTTTCATTAATGTATGAATTCCCTATTATGAATTCTCAATTAATTAATATTAATATTTACATTCATTTAATTAATATTTAATTATTTATCTTCATTTATGCATTTTCATGATATTAATTCTAATTATAAGTTAATTAAATTTCATATTCAAAAATGCTTTTCATTATTCATGTTCATTCATATTAATTAACATCAAATTTTACTTAATTGAAACTTAAGTAAATTAATTAACATTCATTGTCGCGTATATATATTTCACGTTATTAATTTTAAATTAATTAACATTCATTCATATTCAAATATTATTTTTACTAACATTAGTAATCAAATGGGCCCTTGAATGTTTGAATTCACTAACTGAACACACAAACAGTGGTCCTTCTCGCCTAGTAAATGAGGAAATTACATATTTCCAGACATTTGAAGATCCAAGTGCAAAAATCAGGTGCAAAATTGTTTTAATCAAAACTCAGGTATGAAATTAATAATCAAATATTTATATATACAACCTTAAATCAATTTCATTTCCACCCGTTTCATTTTCTCCCTCTTCTCTCTCTACCACCGTCGAGGAGTGCTCGTCTCCGTC